GTCCATTACAGGTTTATTTTCAGCCATACATGTAATTCATTCAAAGGATAATTATTTCTGTCATTCACATCAACTGCCCTAGATTGCATAGTGCGTATGTCAGCTTCTGTGTGTTGTGCAACCCTCAGTCTGTTTAAAAGCTTAATAAAAGGTTGATCGTCCTTTTGCCTCATGATTTCAACCAATTCTATCATCTTGAATTCGTGCCATGGATGTGACAAATTGTATACGTCATTACCATATCTACAGAAAATAGGTTTTTGTTGGATAGGTGGTGGTTGATGTAAATCACCCACAGTGACAATGCTTATACCAGCAATATCCTTGAGCTCGAAGTTTCAAAAATTTCCTTTAGTCTTTGATGGATATGCAATAGCCTATTATTTGAAACCATCAATATTTCATCAATTATCAACAGCGTCAGCTCACTTAACATGAGCCTTAGCAACATTTTCTTTTGACCCGGTAACAGAGGTAAATTAATTCCAGCGTGTTTTGGAATAGCTAAACCTGTATTTACAGTCGTGCCACTAATCTTAACAGCTGCAACACCTGTAGGTGCCATTAGCAGAACTGTTGGTAAAGATGGATTCACTGCACTGTATTTAAACATATTCATTGCAGTATGATAAATTGTTTTGATTAAGTGGCTCTTACCACCACCACCACCAGTGACAAAGATATGTATCGGCTCAATAGTTTCCTTAGTGAGGCAATTAACACTTTTACTCGAGTTTCTACACCAAGAGAGCACGACATCATATGTAATATGCTGTTTACATTTAAAGATCTTACAGCAACACATAGTTCCTCATCTCCAATAGCAGATGGCTGGTTATAAGTAGCTATTCCTGCAAATGTTTGGCTTGTTTCACATGGCAGTGATACCAGTTCCTCAGGTAAATTGTCATCACATTCATCATCTATGCTATTCTTGCTTCTGCTGACAAGTCGTCGTTTCCTTGATCATCGATAGGATCACATGATTGAAGATCTCTCATTCGATTCTCCCTAACCACCTGTAACACGGTGTTGATAGCCTCGGCATTGGGTTCAACCATTCTCCTGTTTGTTTCTACTTTACTAAAAACTTCAGGTGCCTGGAATTTTGTTGAATATAATTGGTCGTCACCAAGAAGATCAGTCTCTTTTCGCCATGAAAAGTAAAGCATTAGTAAATGGTGGTAAAATTTTTCAGGCTCTTTTGCCTTACTTGGTGTGTGGAATCTTATACACCGAATGCAAATATGGCGGATCACTCGGACGGCCCGGGACTAGTAGCGTGGAAGCGAGGCTA